TTACACTCAAAAAAACAGATTGCTGGATTTACTTACCCAAGTAAAGCCACGTTCACGTTTACATTTAAAGAAATTGTGGAAGTGGCTTTACATTTACTCAACTTGGTTGAGGGGAAATTGTTGACACAACTCATTTAAGTAAATCCAGCAGTCAGTTTTTTGAGTGTATGTAAGATACAGTACATGAAGTGGATTCCTACACTGCCCCCAAGCGGTCATAAAAAGGAAGTGCATGCAGGTTGAAGTGTTTCTGTGGGAAACCAGTCAGAAGGTATTTTGGTGAGGAATACAAGTCACACAACTCAGAAAAGTTTAATTTCCTCCTCCCTCTGACCTTTGACCTCTGCCTCCAGGACAACACCAACATCGACGCGGCCATCAGCTGTCTGGTGGCGCACATCTTGTCCGAGGAGGAGGCCGACTCGGCACGGAGCGAAGYCGGAGGAGTGGTTGTTCTTCAGCAAGTCGACCGCAATGCGAAGGAGAACAAATTAAACGGCTGCGCAGGGTGTCCCACCAATAGACCCTGAGCCAGACTGAGGCTCTGGACACAGGGGGGACACTACAGACAGACAATGAAAAGGACTTTAAATAGTTACTGCRCCTTTTATATAACTAGATCTTTTACTAATTTATTGTTTCTTAAAGACATCTTATAGGAAATAGAAGAGTTTGTTGCCTAAAATAGGAATGTTTAAAGATTTACTTTCTAATTTATTCACAAATTTCAACAAAAACACATTGGATTTTACAAAAAGTATTTTTTTTGTTTGTTTTTGTGGAATATAAAATGATGAATAAAACTCTGATTCTAACCGTTTTAACAGTTTTTGTTTTAGTTTGAGACGTTGAACACTTGCCCATGTCCAGAAGGCACCATGGGACACCCTGGACACGTCTCAGGTCCATCACAGGGACACACAGAGACAACCCTCTCTCAGGGACAGTTAACAGAACTGTTTTTGGTTCTTAGAGAAAACCCACCTGTGCACGGGGAGTACATAAACGAAAGAAACCTGGCCTTGATCCCACAGTGTTGGGGAATTTTAGGCCCATCTCAAAGCTTCCATTATTAACAAAAATCCTGGAKAAAATTGTTCACTCTCAGTTAAAATCCTTTCTAGATGAACGCAGCATCATGATGTGTTCCAGTCTGGTTTTAAAACTCTTCATAGCACAGAGTCAGCTCTACTTAGAGTTTTTAATGWCATTCTTCTGTCATGTGACTCTGGCGATCACGTGATCCTTGTTTTATTAGATTTAACTGCTGCTTTTAATACTGTGGATCACAGCATTTTATTGTCATGCCTACAGCACCAAATAGACATTGGTAGCACTGCTCTGGAGTGGTTAAGGTCCTATCTGGCAGACAGAACATTTTCTGTAAAAATCACAGGGTTTGAATCGTCCTCTGACCCTCTGCCATTTGGGGTTCCCCAGGGCTCATTTCTGGGACCTTTGCTCTTTTCTTTGTATCTCCTTCCTTCAGGTTCAATTTTTAGAAAACACAGCATCTCATTTCACTGTTATGATGATGACTGCCAAATCCTCTAAGATGAGCCAATGCTTGGTCCATTAATCCTCTTCTATTGTGTCTCAAGGATCTCAAAGCTTGGATGGCCTTAAACTTTCTGCATTTTAATGAAAAAAAGACTGAGGTGCTTGTTTTTGGACRTAGTGGAGCATGCCAGAGTCCTTCAGTCTACTTAGATCTCCTAGCACCATACCTCAGGTCCACAGCCACAAAGCTAGGGTTTAAGATGGACAGTGATTTTAAACTCCACAATCAAATAAAGGCCACAGTGAAATCTAGTTTTTATCACCTACAGAAAATAGCAAAGATAAAAGCTTTYTTATCAAACCATCAGTTTGAAACAGTAATCCATGCCTTCATTACATCACGGCTGGATTACTGTAATTCTCTTTATTTTGGCGTTAGCCAGTCATCCCTCACACGTCGGCAGCTGGTGCAGAATGCCGCTGCCCATCTTTTGACAGGAACACGTAGAAGACAACACATTTCCCCTGTCCTGGCCTCTCTCCACTGGCTACCCGTACATTTCAGAACTCATTTTAAAATTCTTTTGTTTGTTTTTAAGGTTTTAAACGGCCTTGCTCCGCCATATTTAACAGAGCTCCTCCATCGTTACGCTCCCTCTCGGCCCCTTAGGTCTGCTGACCAGCTGCTCCTGGCCGTTCCCACCTGTAAGAGGAAGCTTAGAGGAGAAAGAGCTTTCTCTGTTTGTGGCCCTAAGCTCTGGAACACCTTACCATTGTTCATCCAACAGGCCGCCTCATTGTGCATTTTTAAGACCCGTCTGAAGACACATTTTTACTCACTGGCCTTCAACCCAATTGAGACTTGATTTTACTTAATTTTAGTGATTTTATCTGTTTTATCTTCTTTGTATTTTTATTTTTTGCTGATGTTCAGCACTTAGTTTCAGATGTGGCTGGTGTTAAGGTGCTTTATAAATAAAGTTGATGATGATGATAATGATGATGATGATGATGATGATGATAAGCGCCGCCCTTTTTGTAGGGTAATAGTAACTGTGGCCAAATTCAGGGGGTGGTCTAGGTGGGTCGAGTCCTTGGTCGACCACGAAAACTGGAAAAAAGGGGCTGTGAATTTGTCCCCACCCTTACCCTGGTGTTTCTCCTGTCTTCTAGCAACCATGAAAACGCTAAACAGAAGCAAAAATAGATGGAAATTAGCTAAATATCAAAATATTAGTTTTATAAATATCATAAAACAACAAAATTAGCTTAAAGGCGAAATTTAGGTGTGCGTTTATTTTGCTATTTTGTTTTATTTCTGACAAGAATAATAAAAACACATCTATACAAATGATGAATCATTCACAACACAACCATTTGAAACTTTTAATTTTTATACCACTAGGGTTTTTTTTTTGTAAAACTGTACTTTCTCTAGCTTCATCCGCCTTTACAAGCAGGATAAAAACCTCGGTCGGCCTGTAGTGCATCATTGGGATATGGTGGGCCGAGAAGGATCCATCAGACTCGTCCCTCAAATTAGGGAAGAWGGAGGACACATTTGTCAGCCGCAACTGGAGGAGTCTTCGAATTTGGACAGCCTCAGGTGCGACACTGTGACATCAGCGGCCGACAAATTCAGAGGCAGCAGACCCCAGCTGCTCTGTTCACTGRGGTGGACTTGTGTCAATATTGTCAAACGGTGGACTTTTGACACAGACAGACAGATTAGGAATGCAAACAATTACAGTAATCACATTGTATTGATAGGCAAAGTAAAACCAGATTTATGATAAAAAAATATATATTTTAAATGACGTCCAATTTGATACCTGTTGCTTCGCAAGCAGGAAACATGATCCTGTGGGAAAAAACACCACAATCCTTCAGTTTCCTCCTCCTCACGAGCTGAGCAAATAATCCTACCAACTTTTTTTTTTCTGATTGAGACCCAAAGTTATTTGTCCAGCAGCAAAAAATCTACAGGATGAAGAAACTAAAACGACTCGAAAATTGAAAGAAGTTTGGCGTAATGAAAAGACAGCAACAGAGAAATTAAATTTGTGATATTTGTAGCACTAATACGTATGTTTGGATTTTATAGTTAAGGTGTACAGTAGTTGAGTGGCTGTAGTAGATCCACACTTTTCTCTCAGAGTTCAATTTTTTTTTATTGTTTTAGACACGAA